TTAAAAAAAGCAAGCACTGAAGTACTCGTCGTTTTTCTAACATTGATGATTACTAACTGCTCCACAGAACACTCTTTTTCTCAGCTGGAAAGAAGAAGAAGAAACCCTCGGAGAACAACAATGTGTCAGGACAGACTTGATTCATTTCCCTGTGTATGGAAGTGGACATGCTTCACTGAGATAGCTCCACTGAAATTATCCAGAATTTTGCAAGCAGAAAATCCAGGCATTTCAGCACAAATGTAGGTTTTGTATGATTTCTCTCTGTGTATATAAAGGTAAAGGTACCCCTGCCTGTACGGGCCAGTCTTGACAGACTCTAGGGTTGTGCGCCCATCTCATTTAAGAGGCACTTAAATGAGACACTTCCGGGTCACGTGGCCAGCGTGACAAAGCTGCATCTGGCAAGCCAGCACCAGCGCAGCACACGGAAACGCTGTTTACCTTCCCGCCAGTAAGCGGTCCCTATTTATCTACTTGCACCCAGGGGTGCTTTCGAACTGCTAGGTTGGCAGGCGCTGGGACCAAGCAACAGGAGCGCACCCCGCCACGGGGATTCGAACCGCCGACCTTTTGATCGGCAAGCCCTAGGGGCTGAGGCTTTTACCCACAGCGCCACCCGCGTCCCATCTCTGTGTATATAGTAACCTTTTTATTTTGAGTTGCATATAGAGGCACCATATTTTCCCCCCCAGTGCTTAGGGGCTCTAAAGGTATTCATTCAGCCCTGGGTCTGAATGTGGCCCTCAAAACCTATGTATCTGGCCCACAGGACTCTCCACAAGACACCCCATGGCTGCTCCTCCAATGCTTTAAAAATGTTCATCAAGTAACCAAGAAAACAACAAACAAAGCAATGCATACTTCATCCTCCCACCTTCTGGAGAATAGCTAATTGTCATAACTGGTTGCTCGAGTCTACAAAGGCTCATCATAAAGTCACATTACTCATTATATCAGTTGGTTCAATGGAAGTCCTTCTGGAAACGCTTGTGGGTGACTGGAGGTTATTTGTTGTCACTCTGTGTGTTCAAATGCTTAATAAAACAGAAGTACATTTTATTATTATTATTATTAATAATAATAATAATAATAATAATAATAATAATACTCCACCCATCGCCACTCTGGGCAGCTTACAGCATATCTAAAAACATAATAAAAGCATCAAGTATTAAATACCTCCCGATACAGGACTGCTTTCAGGTGTCTTCTAAAAGTTGTGTAATTCTAAAAAAATCACTTTGGCCAGATTGATTATTTCTTCCTACGATTTGTATCTTTGAATTGTGATAATGCACCTCCTTTATGGAGAAATGTGAGGGGGGTGTCCTAAGTTAAAAGTACTGTAACATCCATTGCTCTGACCTCCCTACACTGACATATGTGTCCCAGAAAGTTGGCCATGAAATATTGCAACACTTGGGCTGAAAAAGATTCCCCACCCCTATTCGAGAGAGGACATATGTTTGATGAATTTGTTCTTTGCCAATTCCAATACGAACTAACTTGAGCTTCCGCTTTTGAACTATCGATCAGAACACACCTTTCCTTTGGATTTCACACTTCCCCAAATGTTGCAATGCAGTTCTCCTTCCCAAAAAAATGCTCAAAAATGCTTCTAAAATCATATTTTAGGGTAAAATATGTTTAGAAAGGTGTACTTCAAAAGAAAAGACCATTAAACGTGCACATTTTGGGAGGAAATACATAGTTTTGAACTTATTTCAATGTGTACAATGGTACATACGCTTCAGGTTACATACGTTACAGACTCCGCTAACCCAGAAATAGTACCCCGGGTTAAGAACTTTGCTTCAGGATCAGAACAGAAATCGTGCTCCGGCGGCCCGGCAGTAGCGGGAGGCCCCATTAGCTAAAGTGGTGCTTCAGGTTAAGAACAGTTTCAGGTTAAGAACAAACCTCCAGAACGAATTAAGTTCTTAACCTGAGGTAGCATTGTATTTAAATACAAATCTGTTTGCAGGTAGTTGTTTTTTAAAAAAGAAAAGAAAAGAAAAAAAGAAAAACCACACAAATCAAGGTAGAAATTTGGAAACAGAAAATATTTATGAACACATGTGAAACTCAGACAGCCCAGAAATGGACTTTGTTTTTTGAGTATAGGAAGCTTCCTTATACTGAGTTCAGGTCATTGGTCAGTATTGTCTACAGGGCAGTGGCTGGCAGCTTATCCACATGATATCAGTTCTCCAACCAAGCAAGGTTTACAAAAATGCATATATTAGGGGAAAGTGTGCATTAAATGTACGTATATATTTGTGAAAATAATATACAAAAATGCATCATCTCAAGAGAAGTAAGTTGAGAAAAATGTGTACATTGGTCCAAACTGCATACAAAACTGGGTTTTTCAGTAGAAAGGCACGCTATAATACTGAATAATTTTCATGAGGATTTAACAAAACAGAATTGTGGATCACTGCAGAAATAGGAAGAACTGAAATTCAGATGGGGAGAAATGAGAAACTGAGAGAACCAAGATGGGCAGATCCTTCTATCCCTATTAGAGGATGCAACCGATGAACTGGTCAACAAAATGGGCTTCTGTATCCTTGGAGGTCTCTCTGTTTTCCAGACAAAAATATATTGTGGCCGAAAGCGTACTTTGTTTCGTGATTCCCCACCTTCCTAAGGTTCAAATTCCCATACCTTCCAGTACCTCGATGGCAAAATCTGGGACACAATCTTCAGGGATGCCATCTTCCTGATTTTTCTCATGAGGGAACAGAGGCCATTTTGGACACTGTGATCTCATACAATTTTGTGCCACGATTTCCCCCTTAAAAACCACTTTTTTCAAGCATAGCACCCCAAAACACACATTTTGGGGCACCATGTGAGATTGCAGCCACGACAAAGTGGGTTTGGGGGGGGGGACTGCAGTGTGAAATTGCTCTAGATCAAGGCATCCAAAATGGTCACCATTGTCTCACAAGAGAGAAAAAAGATTGTCCCACTTTTTCCAAAACACTTGCAGGGCATGAACTCCACGTAACAGTAAGGGTTTTATAGCTGTGGAGTCCTTGTTCTTAGCTGGTTATCAATTGTGGGGTGGGATGTACTACTAACACGTTTCTGGGAGGGTAATCCCTACTTGGATCGAATCTACACTCATGGTTTATAATGTTAAAAATGTGTTATTAAAATGTGGCACCAGAGGGCGCTGCAGAGCAGCAAAGAGAAACTGCCATTAAACATTATAGAATGTTGTATTTAATAACATTTAGAAAATCAGTGTAGATCCAGCCTTAGTTGGGACTCAGCCACACTTCTGGTTGTCCCATGCCCGCTTGGAAAATATGCTCTTTACTTCTGAATCAGAACAAACAGCATGTCAGGCTTCTGGGAATCAGCTTCCTCCCCCATGGCTGCAAATGAGCAGATCAAATGAAAGGGAATTCTTACCAGTTAGTTTCTTTAATAAACACAGCGAAGGACAAAATAAAGCATCTAACCAGAATGGCAGGGCTCCCAATTAAGGTCACGCTCCCCCTTCTGTCCTTATTAATCTACATCATTCCTACGTCTTGTAATCTGAGCTTGGAGCCTCTGTGTTTTCTGTTCCAACACTTTCTGAGCTCTCCGATACTTTGGGGAAGGAGGGTGGATACTTTACAGAGACTATGAATCTGTTAACTCTCTCTTTTCCAGTGTTTCTTCTTCTAGCTGTTCCCCATCCAGTATTTCCCAGCTTCTGCCTTCTAAACTATGTCCTTCTGCAAACCACTGTTCCAAATCTATACTGTCCTCCTGCTTCTGGGAAGATTCGGGATCAGGGGAGGGGGTGGCTCCCACCGTTATTCCTCAGTGCAGCCCTCCTCAGCACCGTCCCTGACACAGCAGTCCGCAGAAAACCCGATAGCCGTTTGGTTCAATTCAGCGGTAAGCCACAGGTTTTCCTGGGGAAAAGAGGCAGAACAAACAGAGAGATGGACAAGCCCAAAGCTTGTTGTCCTGGTCTCTGTAGAACTGCATGAGCTAGGAATGCATTAACATTTAAATGAAATGGATAGGTTGGAATCAGAGCACATTGCCAGAGCATTGTGTTTTGCATGCAAAAAGTCCCGGGTTCAGTCATTCACAGAGGCAGGTTTAGGGGAGTGTGACCAGTTCAGTCACACTGGGCAAGGAGTCCCGGGGGCACTGTAACTGTAATATAGAATGGAAGGTGATAAGGGGGAGGGCAATTTTTGGTGTTGTGCAGGTCGCTGCTGAAATTGGAGTCCCCAAGGTCTCACTGACATCTCCAGTGAAAACAATCAGAGGATGTGAAGGATTCTTCTAAGAAACTCAGGAGAGCCACTTCCTCAGACACTAGGTCATGCCAGGTCACAAGGCAAGTTTCCTGTGCTCCTGTGAAGTATATAAGGTTTGTGCATAAAAACCCAGGATGATGATGATGTTGATGATGATGATGATGATGATGATGATTGCCCCACAGATGAGTCCAGCTTCTTTCTAGGTTCAAATTTTTGTTCCTCCTCCCATACTTCAGGTGGGCTATTTACCTTTGTGTGTTTAAATTTCCTTTTGTACCACGTCTGAAGTGCATGATTTTTTAAAAAAAATTTAAAAAACATGTTTTCTTCTTCAGCTGGGAAAAAATGCTCGGTGAAGAGAGGGGAGGGTGCTTGTTGATGTCACCAACCCCCCAGCCAATCAGCACTCTGCACAGCCTCTTCGTCTTTTGACTGATGGGACTCATTCTTCCTGAGATGGGGTAACTGCGAGTGTGCTTTCTGAAGCAGAGCAGCTCATGTTTTTATGCACATTTGCACTCTCCCATGTTTCCTCCAAGTAGCCCCCAACTGGGGTATGGATTTTGTTCTGTCTCTAACATGCAAATGAGGACTAGCTCTCATAACTATTATGTGGGGGGTTGTGGGTTTTTTTAATGTATTTCCCTTTTCTTACTAGTGAAATGTTTTTCTCCCAGCTTGGATTGGATGAAAAATGTGGCACAGCAGCCCGGACCTAGCTTAACAATGGCTTTGCCGGCTGCATTTGCCCTGTGGGGTTATCGGCTGGCTGTCCCTGCTCCCAACAATGGCCTTGCATTCGTTTGCATGAACTAACATATTAATCACAGCGAAGGGTCTGCGCCGGGATTTCGCATGGTAGCACAGGTGTGCTCCTGTGTTGCCGTGCAGACTGAAGCGAGCGAGCGAGCGTGTGGTGCATCTGTGGCGTGTGTTTGCACGTGCCTGCTCTCTCTGACTGGCTGTCTCCTGAGCTGCTACTCTACTCTCTCTCACCCATTCACTGTCTAATAGGAAACAAATCTGCCCCTGGACATGCCAGGGCTTAAAATAGATGTTGAGACAGCAGCCTTTCCCCTTCTTCAGCAGCAACAGCGTCAGTAGCAGGAACGGCAGAGGCAAGGAGAGGGAGAGCACAGGAGATGGCCGACTAGATCTGAAGGAGAAGCCTTCTTTCCCAGCTGAGAAAAAGCAGAGCCTTGACAAAGGTAAAGTAACTGGGGCCAGCTGGCTCTCTTGTTGTCTCTTCGTGGCACTTCCATTGCAGGACAGAGCCTGTGGCTTCCTTGGTCTTTCCCCCTTGCGCTGTGCCAGCAAGGAGACGCTTCTGCCTGTCCTCTCTCGGAGAAGCTGCCATTTAGAAGAAGAAGCAGGCTATTCGATGCTTTGCATGTTTGTATGTGGCAGGGAACTGTGGCAGAACTTTGGCAGGATCGAGGCTTGGTGGAGTGGGAGGTCTCAGGCTGCATGCATGACCCTGTGGTATTTACTCTCTGCTAACTAACTTATCATCCCAACAGTGCAGTGGAAGGAAAACGAGAGCCAGATTCATGCTGGTGTGCATATAAGGGTGGGGTATCTATGGGTCACATAGTTCAGGGGATTGATCCTGGTCTCAAATAAAATGTGCCTCCTTCCCAAACACTACTGCCACGCAGAACTCGTTCTTGGAGCTCATGTCTTTCAAAACATATCAAAGCTCTTGAAAGGCTGCTTTTTGGCAAAAAAAATTGCCGGGCTGAGAACCAGCGCAATTGGGCATGTGGATAATTTTGGAAGGACTGAGGGGGTTAGATTTGAGGACTCTGCTTGGCTTTTAGGCTTAAACTGGATACCTCGAGCCAGAGACGTCTTCTTCACGCTCAGTCTCATTTTTCTGCCTCTGTAAAGTGGGAACAATTGTGGCCTCCCACTGAGAGGACAGATAAAATAAGGGCTCTTATGCATGAAACCCTGTGAAGAAGATTGATTACAAGGAGAGAGTTGCGCAGCATGGGAACATGGCTTCTTATCTTGCTCATCTTATGAGGCTGGGAAGCAAGGCAGACAAAACAACAAGCAGGAGGCAATCTCTACTTTCCCCTCTGCTAGTGCTCCGGTGGGAGCATTAAAAGAGCAGTGCATCGTGTGCAACATCGTGCAGGAAGAAAAACCTCTCCCTCCCCACCCCACACATGTATTCTGAACAGGGCTGGTCCATCGAGAGGAGTGGATCTGTTGCATCTGATCTCCAGCCTGGAAGGGTGCCCCACCCAGTGCTTGATTCCCGTTAAGCTAAATGACCATCGACTACCAATCCTTTAGAAACGCAGCTGCCTTGCTGCAAAAGCCACAGGCCCAAGATGAGCTGTTCCAGGAGGGCCGGGGAACCTGTGGCTCCCCAGATGTTGTTGGACTCCATTTCCCATCAGCCCCAGACAGCATGGCCACCAGTCAGAGATGAAGGGAGTTGCAGTCCAGCCATATCTGGAGGAATCTGGTTTTCCCACCTCTGTATTATAGCCCAGTAGATGGAAAAGCTTTATTTCCCTTCACAGGCTTGTAAAACCTTCCCCTGCTGGGTTAAAGCACTCAGGTTTCAGACTGGCTGCCACCCCCGAATGTAATACTTTATTTTGATGTAGCAATGAAGGAGAGGGTTGTTGTTTTTCTACTCCTGGACCTTCTCATGAAGGGTAAGGAAGAGATGGTGTTGGCACTCAGCTCACTGGCCTGAAGTCCCCCTCCTTGAGCTGTCTGCTATCAGGGGCTCAAGCAGACTCCTCCATCCCCCATTTTGTTCACAATCCACAGGCCGCAGAGTCCTTATAAAAGCAGTTCTGCTTTCAATCGGTAAACAAGGGGAAGATAGAAAAACCACCGCCGTGTGTGAGGGCATCCCTGTTTCACTCCCAGACCGATACGCAGGCACAGCTTGGGCCAAGTTCAGAAAGTACAGAGCAATATTCTAAACAATTTTACGCAATTCAGAAACAACCAATCATTTCTGGTGATTGTGTTAAGCGTGTGTGTGTATGTGCACCCATTTCTGAACACGATGCGATATCCTCTGCATTACCCAGTTCAGATTTTTGGTATTATCATCATTTTTGCCTGGCACCACACCCAGCAGCAAAGGCTCCAGAGAAAGCTGTCCTCTTGAAGCAAGTCAGCACCAAAGTGGATGTGACAGAGTGATGGAGCCTATGCTTTGAAATCAGACATTCCCAGCAGTTCTGAATGAAGACATGTAGCCACCTGAGATGGCCCAGCAAATACCACTGTCTGCTTTTCTTTTTCCTCTTCCTCCTCATGCTCTGTACTTTGACTTTTGCCTCTGCTACAGCAAGGGCAGGTGAATCAACAGGCTATCACCTGTTCAGAAGGTGGGCAGTTCGAATCCCCGCAACGGAGTGAGCTCCCGTTGCTCGGTCTCTGCTCCTGCCAACCTAGCAGCTCAAAAGCACGAAGTGCAAGTAGATAAATAGGTACCGCTCCGGCAGGAAGGTAAACAGCGTTTCCGTGTGCTGCTCTGGCTCTCTGGCTCTCCAGAAGCAGCTTAGTCATGCTGGCCACATGACCCGGAAGCTGTACGCCGGCTCCCTCGGTCTGTAAAGTGAGATGAGCGTCGCAACCCCAGAGTTGTCTGCGACTGGACCTAATGGTCATGGGTCCCTTTACCTTACAGCAAGGGCAGGTGAGTCAACAGGCTGTCACCCAACAATGACTCACTCAGAAGAAGGACCCTATATCAAGGAGTGAGGAATCTTAAGCCCACGGACCCAGTGAGCCCTTCCAAGCATCTCTCTCTGATCCTCAAAACTAACCCTTTTTTGCTATCCCAACTTCAGAACCTGAGAGTTTTTGCCAGGCTGGAATTTGCCAGTCCTGTACAAAGGTCAATTTTACACCTGCTGCGCTGCCCACTTTGGCCTCTGGCCTCACTCAACACCAGCATGTCTACAGGGTCAGTCTCAAACTGAGACCTTGTATTGGGGCAAGTGGCTATTTTTTCTGGGGCAAGGCATCGATTCTTTCTGAAGTTCAAAGGGCATTTGTCACGGCAGCAAAGCCATGGGTAGTCTCTTCAAGGCCACTCCCCCCCACAATGCCTTGCTCTGAGGAGTGACTCTTTCTCAGAGTAAGGCATGAGGAGCAACAGAGGAGATGTGGATGAGCAGTGGGCAGCCTAGAGAAGAGTTTGGATTTGATATCCCGCTTTATCACTACCCTAAAGAGTCTCAAAGCAGCTAACGTTTTCCGTTCCCTTCCTCCCCCACAACAAACACTATGTGAGGTGAGTGAGGCTGAGAGATTTCAGAGAAGTGTGACTAGCCCAAGGTCACCCAGCAGCTGCATGTGGAGGAGCGGGGAAGCGAACCCGGTTCACCAGATTACGAGTCCACCGCTCTTAACCACTACACCACACTGGCCCCTCCTAGAGGAGGCACCACTGCACTGCTCCTCAAAGTCCTCTGCCTAAGATGTGCCTCAAATGGCCTAAACGAGAGGGCTAGATGTGGGCCTCAGGTTCAGTCCTGGCATCACTCCACGGGATCAGACAACAGAGGGTGCGAAAGACCCTCTGCCTGGGATTCTGAAGAACTGCTGCCTGTCAGAATACCAGGGGTTAGCAAACTTTTTCAGCAGGGGGCCGGTCCTCTGTTCCTCAGACCTTCTGGGGGGCCAGTCTGTATTTTGGAAAAATAATATGAACGAATTCCTATGCCCCACAAATAACCCAGAGATGCATTTTAAATAAAAGCACACATTCTACTCATGTAAAAACATGCTGATTCCCAGACAGTCCGCGGGGTGGATTTAGAAGGCAATTGGGCCGGATCCGGCCCCCAGGCCTTAGTTTGCCTACCCATGGAGTACACAGCACTGGGCTTGGTTGAAAAATAATCTGACCCAGCAGAGGCCATTTTTAATATTCTGAAAGGACTTCCTAATAGCTGCAGCTGCAATGCTCCCAGCCTCCCAGAATGGGTTTGTCACCTCCTATCTCCACTGCAAAAAAGTGGATTGTGCCGCACATTCCCCCAACCTGATTCTGACAGAAAAGAGCTGTGAAGTGGCAGGCTGAACATATTCCAAAGTTCAGCAAGAGAGGGTCAGATAGATTGATACAACAGCAGCGTTTGGATAGGCATACGATGAAGTCACCCCTGGGCACAGTTGCTGAAATGAGAGGTGCCGGAGACCCCTAATGTCCAGCTTTTGTGGAGTCTGCCAAAGGTTACTCGGTGGTGAGAGAACAAAATGTTGCCCCTTCTCCAGGGAGCACCAGCTCTTTAGGACAACTTCATACATGCTAAAGCTGCGTCTTCACTGGGCATTTGCCACTGAATAGTCACACCTGGTGAACTCACTTTTTACAGGGCATGTGCATGAAATCATGGGCAAGGTTTTGCATGTTTCTCATGTTTTGCCTGTTCAACTTCTGTTTGTTTTCCAGAGCTCAGAAAAGCTGCCTTTTTTTAGCTCCATGGAATAGCTGCACAATTTCTGCAGGCGTCCGTGGACTATTGTGTTGCTATTCTGACCACCTATGGCCTGCACAGATTACTCTGGCCGTTTCCTAACCATTTTAACTCTCACTTTTCCAAACAGCATTGCTTTTATATCTAATCCCTTCAAGCCGCCGGGCCTTAAATTAAAATGGGAAAGATAACGATTAGGGCAGGGGTCCTGCAACCCGCGCTCCGGAGCGCACGTGCTCTTAAATTGCCCGGCTCCGGGGCGGATACTAGCGGTGCCACAGTAGTCCTAATGAAAATCCCCCTCACCCACAAACCTTTGGGGCTTAAGAAAGGGAGGCTGCCCACTTGGCAGGACATGTTACGAGTCGCTGTTCCACTTCTAGCTGAAAGCAACACAGCAACAATTGGGTGTTGCTAAATTATCCACAGCTGGAAAGCACCTTAAGTACATTGGGGAAATATTTCCAACTGTGGCCCTGGTGCGTTTTGGCTCAGATTATACCCCCGGTGTCACTATGCAGAAGCAGAGCAATTCAGCTTCGCAGTTTTGAGAGCCAGGAAAGGGAGCTTCAGGTTATATAGGAAGGTGTCTTGGGGACCAGATCAAACTCTTTGTCCATCTAGACCACTGCTGCCTACTCCGACTGGCAGCAGCTCCCTGGGGTCCCAGGCATGGAGGGGAGCTTCCCATCCACCTAAGTGATCCTTTCAGCTGGAGATGCTGGAAATTAAAACAAGGACATTCTGTATGCAAAAGTCGTATTCTTTCCACTGCATGACAGTTCCTCCCCAAAGAGAGCAGAAATGGGTTGCCTTTTCCTCCTTGGGTTCCTTAAAAAGTTTCTGCCCTCCTAGTGGAAAATCAGAGCTCCCCTAAATACCACAAGAGGACCCAAGTGCGTGTGGAGCTGGGTGAATAATTTGTCTTTTTCCTTGTCTTGTAACGGGGTCAGTGCCAGGGTGGAGATATCTTGATTTTTGTTTTTCTTCTCCTCCAGCTCCTGGCTGTCTCTGTACAAAGCTCCTGGCACCTGCCAGCCTCCCTCATTACTATTCCTGCCTTGGCAGCCTCTGAGGTGGCAGAGCTGTGCTGGCCAAACATTGTTTTGAAGGAAGGCAGCAGCTGAGCTCATCCCGATCCCAACTGGTCAGGAGATGCCAGCTCAAAAGCTGAGGAAAACGCCAACCAGCGTTTATTTCTCCTCTGCACATGTGAATTCATTAAAAGTCATGTAAAATGATTGAATGCCCATTATCGAACACTAAAGTGGCAGTTGGGTTTCTTCGCTTGTCTATTTGAACAAGAATGCAGGTTTCAAATTGTCCAAGTACACGGGCAATCCAATGTAGCGTCAGGCCCCATCTGCACTACAGATTTAAAGCAGGATCATACCACTTTAAACAGCTCCCCCCAAAGAATCCTGGGAACTGTAGTTTGTTAAGGGTGCTAGGAGACTACTATTCCCTTCACAGAGCTACAGTACCCAGAGTTTTTGGAGATGTAGGATTGATTGTTAAACCACTCAGACAATTGTGGTTCTGTGAGAGCAACAATGGTCTCCTAACAATTCCCAACCAAAGTCCCTTAGCAAACTACAACTCCCAGGATTCTTTGGGGGAAACCATGACAGTTTTAAGCAGCTGTGTTGCTGCTTTCAATGCCTGGCACTGATGGGGCCTGAAACAGAAAAAGCCAGGCAGGAGCAATGCCAAACTCACCGGGTTCCTGGAGCTCAGGCTATTGAGCCCCCAAACTAGTAGTGTTTCAAGGGCAACACAGCTGCCAAGCCCAATTTGTCCTTTTGAGATCATTCGAAACAACATGTTATCCAAGTGTCCTGTTTACCACAGACCTATTTTCCTATTCCCGTCCCCGTTTTATTCCGCCTTTCTTTCTTTACTTTTGCAAAAGGCCTTGTAAAATATGTCAGGGAATGCTTATGAAGCCTACGCCACTCTGGAAGCCAGACAAGAATGCTGTGGCTGGACTGCTCACAGGAGTCACTGTCAACATCCTATGTCTCTTTGCTGGGAGACCTGTACTGGTTGCCAGTTTGCTACCAGCCCAGGCACAAGGTTTTTGTGTTCATTCTCAACAACTTGGGTTCCAAGTACCATAAGGCACCTACCGTATTTTTTGCTCTGTAAGACGCACGTTTTCCCTCCTAAAAAGTAAGGGGAAATGTGTGTGCGTCATATGGAGCGAATGCAAGCTTTGCAGCTATCCCAGAAGCCAGAACAGCTAGAGAGTGCTGTGCAGCGCTCCCTCTAGCTGTTCTAGCTTCGCATGAAGCCTCCGCAGGGCACGGGGAGCATTCATCCCGTGCCCTGTGGAGGCTTCGCGGGTCTATCCGTGGCTTTTGCGGGAGGGGCGGGAAGGGACAGAGCGGGCGGCTCTGTCCCTTCCCCCACCTCCCGCAAAGCCAGGGATAGGCGCACTCCCTTTAAAGAGTTGTGCGCAGTCTGTGTGCGGCTCTTGGGGGAAAGCCTGCAAGTGCCACACACACACTCCACGCTGCTGATGAAAGGGAGCACTGAGCAGAACCTGGGATGCATACAGGCTCTGCTCAGCGCTCCCTTTAAATAATTTTTTTTTCCTTGCACTCCCCCTCTAAAACCTAGGTGCGCCTTATGGTCAGGTGCATCTTATGGAGCAAAAAATACGGTAATTCCTTACGCTTGATCACTGAGAGCTTCTGATAGGGCACTTTTTGCAGTCCCTCAAGCGCCCCGAGGCTGAAGGCTCAGCCAAACTTTTGCTTGTCCTACCTCTTTACCAGTCTTTCAGACCCTCCAAGAAGCCATCCCAGTTTCTGAATAATAATAATAATAATAATAATAATAATAATAATAATAATTTATTATTTATACCCCGCGCATCTGGCTGGGCTTCCCCAGCCACTCTGGGCAGATGTCTTCTAAAAGTCTGGTAGTTGTTGTTCTCTTTGACATCTGGTAGGAGGGTGTTCCACAGGGCGGGTACCACTACCGAGAAGGCCCTCTGCCTGGTTCCCTGTAACTTGGCTTCTCACAGCGAGGGAACCGCCGGAAGGCCCTCAGCGCTGGACCTCAGTGTCCTGGTAGAACGATGGGGGTGGAGGCACTCCTTTAGATATTGATTTGATCCTGGAATGTCCTAGAGCCCTCCCACCTCATTCCCAAAGCTGAGAAACCACTAGCTATGCTTTGGGGAGAAGGGAGCAGGACTCTAGGACCCTGTCTGAGCCCTCATGCGTCCTCCCCAAAGCCCACTGCCTCCCTTACCCAGCTTTGGGAAGGCAGCACGAAGGCTGCAGTGGTGGGTGTCAAATATTGATGGGGGCCACCAAATAAAGCATTGAGGGCCACGTGTTTGGAAAGCTCTGATTTATCCCCACCTACAGTAGAGGGCAGCCTACTAATGTGGATCAAAAGGATGCAAGAAAACAAGATCCCATCATGTTGCAATAAGTATGTTTTGATTTTATGGTTTAGCATTGCTTATATTTTGAATTGCATATGGGAAAAACACCATAATCTTTCCAGTGCTTAAGGCCTGTACCAGTCTTAATCCAGCCCTGGTTTACCCACTGCTGTCAGTGCTCTAGCCCCATCAAGGACTCCTTGCTTTAGCCATTTCCATTTTTAACAGGATCCGGAAGGAGAGACACCGAGTGCAGACGATCCCCAGGCTGGGATGTGGTCCTGCTAATACCACCTGTGCTCTCTTCCAGTTTAGAAACCGACCGTGGGTGGTGGTCGCAGCAGAAACACTGCCCCGCCCCAGCCCCCTCAAGAGGCCCGGGATGCAAGGGGGGGCTTGGCGGCACCAATGGCCTTCTTGTCCCGGTTCTCCCGGAACGGATCCAGGGCTCCCAGCCGGCGGATTCACGATGACACCGTCAGCCACCCCATCCTCAGCGTCTTCGAGTTGGAGAGGCTGCTCTACACAGGGAAGACAGCCTGCAACCATGCCGACGAAGTGTGGCCAGGACTCTACCTGGGAGATCAGTATGTACCAGCCCAGATGTCACTGTGGGGACGGTGGTGGGGAGGAAGTCCTGTGATCTACAGCTGCTAAGGAACTGGAGGGCATGCATGACATTGCCTACTATCAGGGACTGGGCAGAGGAGGAATGGTGGAGACCACCTCCCCATCCTAACCCCTCTAGGGAGGAGGAAGAAGACAGTACAGTGGTACCTTGGTTGCAAACAGGATCCGTTCTAGAGGCACGTTCGCAACATGAAAGGAATGCAACCCACAGTGGCGCATCTACGCACATGCGGGTTGCGATTCACTGCTTTTGTGCATGCGCGTTGCGTCATGCGGCATGTCTGCGCATGCGCAAGTGGCGAAACCTGGAAGTAACCCTTTCTGGTACTTCCGGGTTGCCGCAGGATGCAACCTGAAAAAACGTAACATGAAGCAAACGTAACAAGAGGTATGACTGTATAGATTTACAACAGGGGTTTGAGGGAGGTCACAGCTCAGAGGCAGATGAGGTGGAAAGTTGGGAAATAATGGTAGAGGAGGAGGCAGGACCAGAATGGCAGTTGGCAGAACCTGGCAAGCCTTAAAAGTAGGAGAGCAAAGAGCTCCAAGACAGAAAGCACGTAGCAGCACCCGTAGAAGTGATGAATGAGGAAGTGGGAGAGATGAGGGGTTGGAGATTCACTTGGGACAACGTCATTATCCAGGAGGCTGGGTTCTATAATAATAATAATATTAATTAATTAATTAATTAATTAATTCCACCCTGCCCATCTGGCTGGGTTTCTGGGCGGCTTTCAGCAGAACATTAAAAGCAGAATAGAACTTCAAACATTAAAAGCCCTAAACAGGGCTGCCTTCAGATGTCTTCTATAGCCTCTCTCTGTTATATTGAAATAAAAAAGGACAGTAAGAAACTTTTCCTTGTTTTTATACTTTCCTGGGCAACCAGCCAGGAGCTGCTGACAGCTTCCTGGCACCTACAGAAGACAAATCTCCATTTCTCTCTGTTTCTCATGTTGCCCATTCTGAAGTTCGTTCCACCCCCTTTTCTGCATCCATTTGAGTTTTCTGTTTAAAAGCCTGCATGAGCAACCTTGCTCCTTTATGTGCACAGCAGCCAGCTGCACTGAGAGGGTTGCTTAACAACCTTCCCTGCTCCATCTTCTTCCCCCCATGTAGAGATATAGCTGCCAACCGCCGGGAGCTGGCGCGCCTGAACATCACCCACATCCTCAATGCCTCGCACAGCAAGTGGCGGGGAGGGGCCGATTACTATGAAGGCACTGGCATCTGCTACCTGGGCATCGAGGCCCACGACTCGCCCACTTTCGACATGAGCCCCTACTTTGATCCCGCCGCTGACTTCATCCACAAGGCGCTGAGCAGGACTGGAGGTGAGTCCATATCGGGAGGTAGCTTGATGGCCCAACTCTTTGCAGAACTGAACAGCTCTCCCTACCATTGGTGAGAGTTTCATACAACGCTCTGGATGGAAGTAGGAGTGGTGCCTGTGAGCACATTGTCATGGGATTGGTGTGCTGAGATTCTTCCACATACAGTGGTACCTCGCAAGACGAATGCCTCGCAAGACAAAAAACTCGCTAGACGAAAGGGTTTTTTGTTTTTTGAGCTGCTTCGCAAGACAATTTTCCCTATGGGCTTGCTTCGCAAGACGGAAACGTCTTGCAAGTTTGTTTCCTTTTTCTTAACACCGTTAATACAGTTGCGACTTGACTTCGAGGAGCAACTCATAGAACGCGGTGTGGTAGCCTTTTTTGAGGTTTTTAAAGACTTTGGTGATTTTTGAAGCTTTTCCAAAACTTTCCCGACACCGTGCTTCGCAAGACGAAAAAAATCGCAAGACGACAAAACTCGCGGAACGAATTAATTTCATCTTGCGAGGCACCACTGTATGTGGTGGACCTATAAAAGGGTAGAGGAAAAGGGTAGAGGAGTATTGGGAAATAATTCATAATGAATTGAAAAAAAATGTTTAAAGGTACTTCCCCTCCCCCCCCCCAAAAAAAACAGAGTCCTTTTTGTTGGGGATAATTCAGATGGAAATTCCCATGTGTCAAAAAAGGTTATTTATGTATGTTTCATTAGCCCAAAAATGGAAAGCGAGTGAGGTCCTATCTAAAGAAGATTGGCAACTTAAACTGATGAACTATATGCAGCTTGCGGACCTAACATATGGAATAAGAGAACAAGAAGAACATACGTTTAAAGAAGATTGGAAGATGTTTATTAAATATATGGAAAATAACTGTGTACAGCTGAAAATGCTGGCAGCATTAAGATAAATTCAACAGTGTAAACAAGTTTTGATGGATGTAATAATGGAATACTGAATGGTTTAGTTTATGTAAAATATACAGGGTTTTATTATGATATGAAAAAATGAACCATGGAAAGAGAAGAAGGGAAGTCAATGACATTTTTAGGTTGTTTAAATGAATATTTTAAATTGTAAAACAGAAAATTTAATAAAAATTATACACACAAAAAAAAGAGATTCTTTCCCATAGTGAGAGATTAACTGTTACACCCAGACCATATCCATAGCATATAATTAAAGCGCGTGGCTTTCCCCTGCCCCCACCCAAGAATCCTGAGAACTGTTGTTTGTTGCAGGTGCTTGAAATGGCAGCTCTGTGCATGGAATCGGGGTCCCCTAAAAACTCAGTTCCCAAGAATCTTGGGGGAGAAGCCAAGATCGCTGGGTGTTCTTGGGCCAATCACTACCTTTCAGTTTGCTCTACTTTGCAGGCCTGCTGTGAGGAGCCAGTAGAAAGGGAGGACTTTGTGTGCTGCCTTGAGCATCTTGGAGGAAAAGCTGAACACAAAAGTTAAAAGTCTGTGAGCCAGTGCACACTTACCTGAAAATAAACCCTGCTGAACATTGCAGGATTTATCTCTGAGTATCTATGCATAGCGTAAAGGGACGCGGGTGGTGCTGTGGGTTAAACCACAGAGCCTAGGGCTTGACAATCAGAAGGTCAGCGATTCGAATCCCCGCAACGGGGTGAGCTGCCGTTGCTCAGTCCCTGCTCCTGCCAACCTAGCAGTTCGAAAGCACGTCAAAGTGCAAGTAGATAAATAGGTACCACTCCGGCGGGAAGGAACGGCGTTTCCGTGCACTGCTCTGGTTTGCCAGAAGCGGCTTAGTCATGCTGGCCACATGACCCGGAAGCTGTACGCCGGCTCCCTCAGCCAAGAAAGCGAAATGAGTGCCACAACCCCAGAGTCGGCCATGACTGAGCCTAATGGTCAGGGGTTCCTTTAGCTTTACCTGTATGCATAGCGTAGGGGAGGCATTTTTTTTAGGGAGTGCGACCAGGCGCCCCCACAACAGGCTCCCTCATTGGAGCTTGGCTCCAGTGTGCAAGGAAGCTGCAGAGACATTTTCCTCATGCAACGGCTCAATGCCGCCAGCCACAGCTCCACCCCTGGGTCAAGCCTAACCTGGGGGCAGAGAGAGGCTGCAGCACACAAGGAAGATGCCAAGTATCTTCATCATGCCTGGCTGCAGTTCTGCTACACCACTGGCGCATCATATATTTGTTTTTGACGTGTCTAAATTGCCCATCACCCTGATGGATCCCAGGGCAGTGTACAGCAAGGAAAAGATGCATCTTCATGCACCAGTAAAATTGAGGACTTGTCCACACTTCTGCTCGTCCTGTGTCTAGAATGCATGGGCACATGCAATTTTCCACTTGATCCACACAGTGTGGTCATTGTCCTGTGGGAATTGAGGACCTTTTTCAGGCAAACAGCCACAATCCCTCCTGGGAAATTTCCCGGGGCCATCTGCCAATGGTGGGTGGGGCCAGCTGCAAAAGTAGGTGGAGCAACCATGCAAATTTTACCTTTGTGTGATAGCCTACTTTCTACACACACACACACACACACACACACACACACACCTCTTTATTCTCCATCCAGGGATGCAAGAGGCATGATCAGAGTTCAAGGATACATTCCGACCAAGTGAAAACACTCAAGGGGAGTGAAAAATAGGACATGAGGACCAGATAGTAGTGCCTGGAAGGCTACATGTGGCTCCCATTCTTGAGGTCCCTCACTCCTGTGTCCCGAACCAAATGAGGATGGAAATATAAGGTTGTGCTGGGGGAGGGAATCTCTCTGGGGTTATTTAAATTGGTGGCATTCTGGAAGAGATCTTTGCTGAGGTGCACCTCTAACCTTACGGGCCATAAATGCCTCAGCTGCCATTTGATATTCAATGGTGCACTTTAGCTACTCTCAGATAATGGTTTTAATGCGGTTGGGAGCTCTTCAGATTGCAATCTGCATTACTTCAGTTTATTCTGAATGCGTTTAGTCATCCCTACTGTGTTTGGAAGGCAGGGAGCCTCCTGCTCCTTCTGTTGAGTAGGGCCCTGGGCCCTGGACCTCTGCCCCCAAGTCCAACCCTGATGGCAATACTGTCAACACTTACTTTGTATATCTACATCTAGCCCATCTATATCTCCCCTTTCTTCCTGCAGGAAGGATCCTTGTTCACTGTGCCGTGGGGGTGAGCAGATCAGCCACTTTGGTCCTCGCCTACCTCATGATTTACCATCGCTTGACCTTGGTGGAGGCCATAAAGACCGTCAAGGACCACCGAGGCATCATCCCCAACCGGGGTTTCCTACGTCAGTTGGCTGCCCTGGACAACTCCCTCAGGTTGAAACAGAGGCCATGAGTGGAAGGGCCAGAGGGGAAAACAATGTTGGAGCCGGTCCTGAGGCATTTCCAGGCCATAATTTGGGCTCTGGTATCCCTGAACTTCCACAGTTCCCGCCCTGCAGAAGCCCAAGGCCTACAAGGCCTCTAATTTCTAAAGTTAGCTTCAGGTGTCAGCCAGAGGTGGCTCAGGTTTCCGAGAGGCAGAGAGTTCCCCAACCCCTCTCTCCATTTCTCCCTCCTTTGGGAAGCCATAAAATGGGGCTCTTCTTGATATCAAGTCTCAACCTCAGACCAGGGGAGCCTTCAGCTATCTAAATCCCCTCAGAGTCCTGTGTGGTGTGGCCTGTCCCCATATTTGCTTTTAACCTTTGTTGAAGTGCTTGGGTAGTTCCTTAATGTATTTTAGCTGTGAGAATAAAGTCCTGCAGAGACTAAATGCATCAGAGCATTTTTCCACCCAACAGTGATAGGCAATTATGGGGCAAGGGAAGAAGAATAGGTTTGGTGACAGCTAGAGAGCCATTTTGCTGCTGTCTGGGGTGGGGTGAGGAGTAGTCCCAGAACAGCAACTGCCCAAGGGTCCCAGGAACTTAGAAGGGCCTTCCACTGGCGTAACCCAGCTGCACCCCAATTCATCACCCTCTCTACCAAGCCCACAGGTGCTTTCAGTTACAGGTGCTGCTGCTGCTGCTTTTGAATGGGAGCCAAAATCAGCTCCCTTCCAGAATGGCTGCCCACCATTTTAAGTTACCCAAAATGTAATGCCCTGGACCACAGATTTGTAAAATGTATTGCTTTCACAGTTCTGTAGTCTGAGTTGATCAGTAATTCTGTTGCAGCCACTACAAGCAGGGCTGGGCCCTGCCCTGGTTCAAGGAAGGTTACTGGGCATGGCCAGGACCATGCGAAGGGGCTGTCTAAAGCCTGGCACTGGCTTGGATGGAATGAAGTACATAGAGCACTATTCTTATTATTTTTAGCCATTCTCCATCACTTAATGAGAAAAGAAACTGCATTCAGAAATTGTCAAAGGGGAGAGAAAATGTTAGTGAAATTCTCACAGGCATGGTGTGGGCTTTTACTTACTTTCAAGTAGGCCAAGGGGCATTCGTGAGCCTCTTTTCTTCCACTCTAGCTAGCTGGTCAAATATACAGAATATGGAGAATCAAGTCTTTCCTGAAATCCACTGTTGGGTCATACCTTTTTTAGGACCAACCAAACATGTCACCCAAAAGTGGCAAGTTTTGAAGAGGGAGCAAGGCAGCGTCAGCTCCAGAGACCTGCCAGGACCAGCAATGAAAGGAAGTGCCGTTTGAGTGATACCAGGCATAAAGATAAAAAGTTCAATGGTTCCTAGAGCAGAATTGCTGGTGGAGTGGATTCCCCACCTCCTAGAATGGATTTTTTGTTTGTACCAGCTGCTGAAAGTTGAAGGAGCTCAGGTTCATTCTAGGAACCATGGGGGGGAGAGACCATAGATCAGTGGTATGGATATATTTTGCATCCAGGTCCCAGGCTCAATCCCTTGCACCTCCAGGTAGGGCTGGGGGAGTCTCCGTGTCTGAAACCTCGAGAGCTGCTGCCAGTCAATGTAGACAATTCTCTGGCTCTGCATAAGACAACTTCCTATGCTGCTATGAATGGAATGCTTCATCCCTGCTCCATCAATTTGCTCCCTCGCCTACCTGTATGTCCATGCCCTCACCTGCCTTCAGTCACTCATTGCCTGTGGCTACCAGGCAAGGGCTTAAATCAGGCATAGGCAAACTCATCCCTCCAGATGTTTTGGGACTACAACTCCCATCATCCCTGACCACTGGTCCTGTTAGCCGGGGATGATGGGAGTTGTAGTCCCAAAACATCTGGAGGGCCCAGTTTGCCTATGCCCGGCTTAAATGCAAAGTTGGCTCACCAGATGCAGCATAGAGCACACTTCCAGCTTTGCAAAGTTACCCATAGCAGATCACAGAAAACAGCTCCAGCCTGGATACTCATGCAAGAGTTCCAGCAGCTTTGGCATTTCCTACGCTGGCAATGAAAATAAATTGATGTCGTTGGCTAGAGTGTAATGTCTGGTTTAAAGATGGCTTTCTTCCGCCTGCTCTCCCCCCATTGTTCATTTGGGATGTGGAAGTGGCACAAAAGAAGTTCAAAGGCACTTTTAGCACCAGGTGTGAGAAATGATGCCAAGGCCCTTTTCATCAGTATATAAGGAAAATTAAATCGGAGGTTCCGCACAGCTGTATTATTCAGCAATCCCTTTCCTCCATAGCCATGTTCTCCTTATAGATGCCAACCTCAGTCTGTCGTCATCCAGTTCCTGGCTGCCTGCTTGCCTTCCCACCCAGGTGGCGGTCACAGCTGCCAAGTTCCTCCTCCTTAGTCTCAGTGTTGCCCTTTTAGAACTCAGCAGGGAGAAGGATGGGGACAAAACTAGAATGAGTTGGCTCTGCCTCTCACTGGCTCTGGTCCCACCAACCTTTGGCCTCCCTGCTTTCTGTGCAGAATTATATGTGCGGAAGTTGCCCAGGGTCGTTTGACCCTTTTAAATGATCCTCTTTTTCTTTCTGATAAAAGCCTGTGCAAAATACTTTCTTTAAAGTTTAAAAATGACACATTACTTCTACTTGGTACACTGAAACATTTTTACATGAATTTGTATCTGAGACTAATATTTACAGACTGATTGTGAGGCACACAGCAGCATAAAACAACACCTGCTGTTCTCACAGTTAAAACTCACTCTCTATACAGCTGATAAATAAACCAATTGGGGGGAAACTGACTACTTTGATGTTAATGCTACAGCATTAAGCCTTTGCATAGTATTTTGGAGGCATGATTCCCACACTCTCCACTGCACTAGTCTCAATGGGCATTGGCCCCTACAGCTCACAAGTAAGCCCTGTTCAGCAAAGGGCTTGGGCAACTTCAGTTCAATGCTTGTTGATTGCAGATTCAGTCTCATTGCTTCCTGTTTATGCCCCCCACAGATGCAAGAAGGGGAATAGTTAGTGATGAATACCCATGAATACTTACCTGGGAATCTAGGGTTGCCATATTTTGAAGAGCAAAAGAGAGGACACTATGACGACTCTCATTTTAAATACCCCTACAATTGTGTAAGCTTTAGAAGCTGTGAAATATTGCTGAGGGGGGCAGGAGAAGAGAAGAGGAAATCAAATCTTCAACCACCAGTTATGTCTATGTCTCATCCAGAAAGTATAGCCAGAGATATTTTGGCAAATTTTAAAAATCCACCCGGATGGAAATTTTACCCCTGAAAAAGAGGACGTGTCCTGGAAAAAGAGCACACATGGCAACCCTAACTATGCCCCATTGAATGCAACGGAACTTATTTCTGAATGGACTTGCATAGGGTTTAAGATGGTGAGATGAAAAGGGGGACAGGGGCGTTGCATTTTTAATGGATATGTAATGGTGGCTTGACAAGCTACACCCACTGAAATACAGTGGTACCTCGGGTTACATACGCCTCAGGTTACAGATGCTTCAGGTTACAGACTCCGCTAACCCAGAAATAGTACCTTGGGTTAAGAACTTTGCTTCAGGACGAGAACAGAAATCATGATCCGGCGGCGCAGCAGCAGTGGGAGGCCCCATTAGCTAAAGTGGTGCTTCAGGCAGGTTAAGAACAGTTTCAGAACGAATTAAGTACGTAACCAGAAGTACAGTGGTACCTCGGGTTAAATACGCTTCAGGTTACATATGCCTCAGGTTACAGACTCCGCTAACGCAGAAATAGTACCTCAGGTTAAAAATTTTGCTTCAGGATGAGAACAGAAATCATTCTCTGGCAGCAGCAGGAGGCCCCATTAGCTAAAGTGGTGCTTCAGGTTAAGAACAGTTTCAGGTTAAGAATGGACCTCTGGAATGAATTAGGTACTTAACCCGAGGTACCACTGTACCCTCAATCTAAGCATGTGGCCAGCCTAATAAGACTGTGCTGTCTACACCACACAGTAGGAACCAACACAGATATTGGGATGATTCAGAGAGGTCACTCAAGAGGTAGTGAACAGATTATAGCTTACTAACACTTGAATACACATGTATACATACAAGCAATATAAATATATACACACACAAGCCATGCTAAAGAGAAAGCAATGAATAGGCGCAACCAACACACAGGAAGTGTTTAATTAAAGGAACAGAAGTCCCTCCAAGCCTTAATAGTGCTTTATGTATCTGCAATGGACAGAGGTGTGGTGCCATTGAGGTTTTCCTACCCTCAAATGGCCACAAATCAGGTTAAAAAATAGTCGTAATGGCAGGACAATGAAGGAAACACTGGGGTATAACAAACGGATGATGATGTCATCTGGGTGTTCCTTAAAAAGTGAACAAACAAAGAGAAGCCATGGGGGGGTGAAAACAAGCAGTTCCTTGCTAAACAAGTATGTTTTGCTCCGTGGATCACAAGTGGTGCAGACCTGGTATTCTGTTGTTGGTATCCATCTGTCCATTGTCAAGTGACAATGGAGTGTGCCTCCAGGGGTGAAATAAAACCAAAGCGACCAGCGCAAGTCTGGTCAGTGCCTAGTTCACACATAAAGTAATTTCTGTGAATTCCAATAGACGCAAGAGGGCAGTGTGGCTACTAGGTAGTGTGGCTGAGGGTGGTGATCACCAAGAGTTGACCCAAACCAGTAATGAATGAGCTACCCCTTATATGCATGCAACTAAAGGTCCAGAGAAGGGCCTTTCCCAACCTGGTTCTCTGTCCTGATGTTTTGGACTACAACGCCCATCAGCCCAAGCCAGTATGGCCATTAGTTCAGCTAGTTGTTCAGTGAAGAGGCAGCAACTTCTTTTCCTGCCAGTCTCTCCTCAATTGTTCTGAAGCTGCTACGCCTATGTCCTCCAGGTGTTTCTGGACTCTACTTCCCATAATTCCAGATTTTTGGCCATGCTGGCTGGAGCTATGGTTTGTTAAAGGTGCTGGGAATTGTAGGTCTGTGAGGTCAGCAACCTTAACAAATGATAATTCACAGGATTCTTTGGTGGGAGCCATGACTGGTGAAGTGGAAGAAGAGGGCTTTAAATATATGGTGGGGATCTGACTCTAGGAATGAACCTAAAGCTTACTAAAGATAACATTTGGGCAAAATATAGAGGGGCTGTAGCAATCTCTCCTGGCTTTCTTTTCTTCTTTTTTGTCTGCCTCCTAAGTAACCTAAAGAAGGAGAAATGAACTGGCAGAGAGAAAGAGAGAGAGCACAAACTCAAAATACATCCATTCAGTCCCATTAAAACCATATAGATGCTCTTTCATATAAAAGTCTGTACAATTTTGATAATCTAAGCAAAGGTCTTCCAACACAATGGGAGAGGAACAGTTAGGTCCTTTTAGACTTCATGGTCTTACCAAATGCAACCATGTGCCTTACTTCACTTGCTTCAAAATCTGGGAAGCCGGTCCTACTGCTTTTGAGGGGGGGCTTTCTCCTTGCTCTGCTGCGCGGTGGCCCTGGACCTCTGCCCCAAAGTCCAGCCCTGACGATACCGCTGTGCACTGGGCCCACTTCAGAACATACTTTGCTCTGTTTACAGATACACACCTTGCTCTGTTTGCTCACACATACGCACACATTCTTATCTCCTGGAGAGAGGAAAGCTCATGAGCAAATCCTGTCCCTCAACTTTTAATGGATGGAGAGGCTCATGTAGAGAGGCTAGTTTCATAGATTTGTGGAGTTTGAAGGGACCCCAAAGGTCATCTCATCCAGCCCTCTGCAGTGCAGGAATCCAGCCCACAGCTGTCCCTGGGTGGCTCGAACCACCAACCTTCTGGTTAACAGCCAGATGCACAGACCCATTGCAGCACTGGAAGCTTCCATCATTAGTTTTGGAGCCAAACAGTTGAATAAAAGCTCCAGGTTCGGAGAAAGCAAACCCTGGAATAGCAGTTCAGGGGGGAATACGCCACTTTTGTGGCCTCCTTGTAGGATTCTTGCAGCATCTGACTTCAACGATTAATATCCTTGTCATAGTACAAATCTATGATGTGACCACACTGGGAATACTGCATGTAGTCCTGGTCACCACACCCTCTATAGGGATGTGAGTAGATGCTAGGAGATGGTATATTTATTGGATATTATCCTTCCTTCCTCATGTTTGTGAGTTCAGCAGAGTGGTATCCCTTTACAGCTTAAAAAGAACCTTAGGATAATTTAAGTTTTAGTTTAAGTAATCCAGGATGCTTTAAGGCAGACTGGATTCTTCTGGTATTCCCTCCTTTTCTCCCCCTTAAAACAATAATTACACAAACAGTCTTGTAAAAGTTAAAAACAACACTCACTTAGAATACTTGTTGAAGACTAACAGACACAGCAGCTTTGTTCAGACAGGCTTAAGATGGTAATTCAATTACAAAGACATACTAGCTTAAAATGGTGTCTGAGCATTGGAGCTCAGGCATGCAGAGGTTCTTCTCATTTTCTGGCTTGATAACGATGGTGATGAAAAGGAGCATGTGCCAGGCAGGTCACAGAATAGATATAGCTATGCTCTTCCCCTGTCAGGGCACTGTGAGTGTGTCTCTCACAGAGTTCACTCTAGCAAACTTACAGGAAGATTCTGTGAGATTCAGCTCCTATCATGTGCCTATCTAGGAAAGCATGAATTGTTGATTTTGACCTCATTGTAAATCTCCCACAATCTCAATAAGGGAGTTCTAGATCTGGAGAAGGTGCAGAAAATGGCAACCAAAATGGTCAACTCCTCTATGGGAAAAGGCTGCAACACACACACACTATTAGAACTTGCGGTCATCCACTGAAGCTGAATATTGGAAGAGTTGGGACAGGAAAAAAGAAGTACTTCTTCACTCCAAGCATATTTAGACTATGGGATTTGCTACCACAAGATGCAATTGTGCCCACCAACTTGGACATCTGTCAAGGGAAAGAAGTATAGCAGATAAAAGTCTAAAACAGCCCTTACTGACAAACGAATTCCAAAAGTACATTCCATATTTTTTTTCTGGCTATGCTTCTGTGTTGGTATGCACAGTTTAGCAACACTCAGTCATGCAG